ATTGGTTGGAACCTGCTGGCGACAAAGTCAAAACTGCCAGCGGCTAGTTGACGATATTGGCAATTGGATGATGTGGTCGTTTTGGAAAAAAATTTATTGATGTATTATTGAATCTGGATATGAAATTCAAATTTTGACAATAAAACCTTGTTCAAAACACACAAACACAGATGGTTAAGTCAAAATATTGGAAATCAATTAGAAGGCGGGGCTTGAGGCGATTGGTAGAAAGGATGCGGTTGGTGCCATCGAGGGATTATTGAACAAATACGAAAAGGCCTCGATTTTGATGTTCCTGGGTGGATATCCACAAGTTGGACGACGCAGTCACTGGCATCAAAGACGGTCAGGTATTGAGTGAAGAACTGCGTATTTTGAAGGGGTTTGGAGTTCACGATCAAACGCCATGATGGCAGGAGTGAAGCCGTTGGATTGGTGGACCGCTCAACGTTTGGTATATCTTGGTTCCGGATGCTTTTGCCGACTGTGGAGATGAAAGACCGGCAGGGGGATGGAAGGAATTTAATGATTCTTCCTGTCTGATCATTGTCTTTTGAGTGGTGATGAGTGGTGTGCTTCTTCACGCACAGATCTTCTGTGGGGTGGGTGGAGTCGTAGACGCCATAGAGATACCGACAATGATGGCTTCCCGGTTAGAGATTCAGAGTACGAATCCACCATAACCGGTAGATATATGTTTTTTCGACAAGATCGTGGATTACAGCCCCATGCTATCGACACGGTAGTCTAATGTACTTGATAACACGAAGAATGAGAATACCAAAGAGATTGTACTTTCTGACTTTGGTCGCTCGTCTCCTTGGTCATTCAGTTGCCGATCATTGATTCAAGACCGTGTCTAAGTCCTTTGCTCGACGTTAGGAGTGTTGGAGTGTACAGTGATGGTTTTGACAAGGGCGGTAGCACTAGTCATGCTTCATTTGGGATCTGTGAATGACAGGCGGGACCGGACGTCCGCATGAGCAAAATTCTGGTCGGAGGTCAAAGCTGGATAACGATTTTCCAGTTTTTGAAATTCCATGGCCATGTAAGGTTCTGGTGTGCTGCAGTGGTGCTGTAGCTCTTTTCCATCTTCTTCAGAATCCGATTTTATAATGCTGCGACATGTTCCACGTCATGACTGAAGAAGATCCGCGTGGAGAATAGGACAAGAGAGGTGAGATGCAGGCTAGGAAATGCAAAAGTTGCTAAGCACTTCTCATTTGGTCGAGCCAAACACGCTAACGTCGTCTAGGTTTACTAGAAACATCTACAGGCCGCGTTGGTAAGTGGCTGCAGCGTTGGCTAGACCCCTGGGAAAGATGCAAAATTTGTAGTGGTTGGACAGCAGGTTGGACGCTGCCATTCTTCCGGATGTTAACCGCCTAACAAGCGGGGACCTAAATAGGTAGATGGCTGTTAGTCCGTCCCTCTTAGATAGTTACACAACCAGAGTTAGCTAGCAGGCATTCGATAGAAGAATAATAGGAAGAATCGGAAGTATTCCCGACTACCGCATGCAAATTCCGAGGACCAGGGCTTAGGGAGAGTTGGGACTGGAGGAGGAAAGGGATGGCCGTGAGGAGGGTCGGTGTTGACCTCCCACTCATGAGTGTGCCTTGAGAAAGGGGAGATGAGGACGAAGAATAGGCCAGACCGGCGTGCGTGGGTCGAATGGCGCGGGTCACACTGGTCCAACTCAATTTGCGACTAGGTGCTGGAGAAGTGATTTTACTGTGGATAAACATTGAGGAGGTCGTCCACGCACCAGATAGAAACAATCTCTAGATCTGACCAAAATTTAGTTTCAGGTAGTCTTTACAAAGGCTAATGATGCCTTCTTTGTTCAATCAGAGTCAAGGCTGTTGCCTATGGGGATGAGGGGGAGGTCGCTTAAGTCTCCCCGTAAAAAAATTTTCCTAAAATTTGTCCGGATCGGTGCGGTAGTTTACAAGAATTTGCCATGAATGTAAGCTTTGTGCTAAATCGATATCTATTGGATATAATGCGTCTTTTCAATGTTTTGACCTGCCTGAATAGAAACATCGACAACTTGTTCAAGCAGTTGTTGTAGAAGGTAATGACTATCCTGAAAACTTTCCACGGTAGATGTAAGGAGGCGTCGAGCAGGACAGAATATGTGTTCAAGGACCTGTGACGTGACCTGGGGCATAAACAATGACACACTTGTGCAAGAGAAGGAAATAGTTACCTAGACCCAGGTGTTAGCCACAGTGTAGGAAGATGGGGATGAGTTTTGAACCTGTGTTGATTCGACTAGGACACAAGCCTTGATCAATGGAAAAGGTGATTTTAAGCGAAATGTATCTGCGGTGAGGACAAGAAGGATCAGCATTGGAAGATCTGAAACGGCGAACGAGTTGGCACTGGGTGTGACACCGCCACTCCCATTCTGATGAAAATAGATCATTTACGGAGTTTGATCTGAACTTGGACTATCCGGAGATGAATGTTACCAAATACGTCGTTGACAGGCAGTTTGTAATAGCTACATTTTGAGGGGTCGGCGTCGTTGGTGTTAATCCGAGGTATTATGTCTAGGCCCACGTTTGCGTTCAGTATGAGGGTCGGGATGTAGTGATGCAGGGATAGATGGAAGAAAGGGTAATTGCAGCTGGGAGTGTAGTATAATAAAGGTAGGTTAATGGTAAGGTAGAGATGTAATTGTTTTACAACAGCAAAGAGTTTGTCAATGATGTTGGAATACTTATTAGCTATGCTTAATCTAGACGAACGTCCAGGACTTCATCTGAGTGGTCTTAGAGAAGTAGAGAATAACCTTGATCCCAAAAATACATTTAGAGAGTAAGACAAGAAAGATCAACAAAGTATTATTTTAAAAAGGCCTGGGGCTTGGCCACGTAGGTGAAAGGGAACTTTTAGTTCACATGCGTGTCAATGATGGCCCAAAAATTCTTGGACAACACACAGTAGATCAAACATTTGAGGATTGTATTCCATCGACGGCTACAGGACACGAAGAAAGGGAAAAATTAAGGACGAAGCAATAAGTAGTGAACTTCTTCTAACTAAGTTTTTATATTAAAAATTAGGTTTGGCTACAACAGAAAAGAAAAAAGGTCACAAGGTGTGTGGAACGGTGAGCAAAGTGCGTGAAAAATTAATATCTCAGATGTTCTCAATAGTCATTAAAAAAGATGTAGGTTCCTTAAAAATTGAGAGGATTTTAGTGTAGGATTTGGACAGATGGTTAGATTTAACCGGGCACAGGAATTTGAAAAACTAATCCCAAAATCAGGTACTGTATGCAAATCGTCTCAAAAAATACATTCTGAAAATAAACTAATGCATTTCAACAAAAATTGAAGTGAAAAATTGTTTATTAAGTTATTTAACAAAATAATGGGAATCGGAGTCTATCAAGTTCGATCAGAAAATTGGGAAATCTTAATTTTCAAATATTGTTTTAACTGTGCATAGTTCAAACTGTAAACATTTAATTTGGTCAATTTTGATTTTTCATTTTTAGAATTCGAAGTAAAAGTCTGGAAGTCAGTTGAAGTCTATTAAACCCAGAAGCTTCTTGCGATAAATAATGTACGGCCAATAAAGAAGACAACTAAGTTACGAGCACCTAATGAATATTTATTCTAAATCTTTGAGCAAGTCTCTTAAGACTAGAAACGAACATTGTTTAATTGTAATAATATTCATAAAATGTACTTTAGAATGTTCATTATTATGGGACACAGAAAAGCAAAGTTAATTAATTCCAGCTATTAGAGCGTTATTTACGTTAGAAAGTAAATACTTTTGAATGTTTAATACCCACAATGGGAAATAAATTACTTGTCTTTAGATTTTGGGTTGGAAATCTCCAGAAAAATTCTGATGCACCCTGGAAGGCTCCTTCAATATACCAGGATTCCAAGCTTACATGTCAAATTTTTTAGAATGTCACGCATTAGTACAATAGATTAGCTGCATTAAAAAAAATTTAAACAATGTAGTCATATTTTGGGAAAAATATATTCTTAACAGTTACGAAGATGATGTTAATTTTGTCCCGAATTATTGTTTGATGGAACTCACTATATGCCGCGTTATTCCTCCGCCACCGATTCTCATTTTGTAATATAGGTTCTTTTGCGGAGGGTGATGTTTTTGTTTCACCTAGGCACCAAGCATGGCTGTACTTGATCTCGAAAAAGACGTTGGTGTTGATGCGTCCTTGGCTAATAAATTTTACGCGAAATATGTACCGCAAGAAGTGCTTGGCACCGGTGCAAGTAGTACCGTTCGCCGGTGTGTTTCGAAGGAAACGAAAGAAGAATTTGCAGTAAAAATTCTGGATTTGAACAGTGGCGTTGAAACTAATGACGTCCTGCGTGCGGAATGCATGAGGGAAGTTTCCATCTTGCGCGCGGTTGCTGGCCATCCGAACATAATTAAGTTACAAGATGTTTTTGAGGGAGATGCTTATGTATTTTTGGTTTTTGAACTGTTAGTTCGTTTTTTTTATCATATTTCCTTCACAGGTGTAAAGGTGGGGAGTTATTTGATTATCTCACGAAAATGGTCACACTTTCTGAGAAACGGACGCGAATGATTATGCGACAAATGCTTGACGCAGTTAAATTTATTCACTCAAAGGGGATAGTACACCGTGATCTCAAACCAGAAAACATACTCATGGATTCGGATATGAACATAAAAATTACCGACTTCGGTCTTGCTGTTTTTGAAACCGACACAGAAGAATTGGAAGGTACGACTCACTATTGTCGTTTCTGCCAAAATATACATTATAAGAGCTCTAAATTCAAATATAATCAATTCTTTTTCTAGAAACACGTGGCACTCCGGGCTACTTGGCGCCTGAGGTCCTCAGATGCGGGTACTATGAGGGTCAGCCCCCGTACGGTAAACCGGTTGATGTTTGGGCGTGTGGCGTAATCATGTACACCCTACTTGTTGGCTTCCCACCGTTTTGGAACAGAAAGGAGTACCTTATGCTTCGCCAAATTATGCAGGGCAACTACTCTTTCCGAAGCCCCGAATGGGATGAAATCAGTGATTCAGCCAAAGATCTGGTAACTCTCGAGTTCGTATATTCACCAAAGAGTGCCTTAGAGCGTCCCAGGGTGCTTCTCAACTACTTTAAGGAAACCGCTCTCTCGTTAGTTCGTTTTTTTTGTTTCAAAAATTTGTTTAATCGAGGCACACTAATCAGTGTAATTTGGTAAACATTCTTGGCACATTGTTTTCACCTAATTTTCAAAAAAATGGTATTTTTAGCTTAGTGTTGTTGAGCTCCTTATTTATTTGACATGTTTATGTTGATGTTGATGCTCATGGTAAAGTGCATGACTATGTGCCTCAGGTGTTTAGAGATTTAACCTCTGTACCCAGTGGGTAATCTTGGAGCAATTGTGTAGTTTCTCACGAACTTTCGATTGATGTACTTTGGTCTCCTCAGTTCACCTCACATTTTAAGCAATTTAAAGTCACGTTTTAAGGTTGATTATTCCCACAGTCCAGATTATGGCGTCAGTGGTATGCGCCTCTTCCAACGTGTTTTCCTTTTCTTATTCCTTTTTTGAGCGTGTTATTGAAAGCCCAGATTCGTGAACGTAATTCTATGATCCCTGTGTACATTAGTGATCATTTACTGCTTTAAATGCACTTTATTTGCGCAAGGGATTACGACAATCCGTTATCGAGTTGACTTAGTGCGCTGCGCGTTTTTTCGCCTCCATAAATAGGCAGTCCAGTTTTGACAACAAGGTGATGTCGTCTTTATTTCATCAATTTTTTTAGCGTAAACAATCTTGTCTCTTTGTGTTAAACTCACACAAAAATGTGCAATTAAGTCTGGGTCATACCATCCTCATTCGTAGCAACCGCCTCACTGGGATAGGCTAGGCTCATCGGAGTAATCTTCGCAGGTTTTGCAGTTCAACTTGAGCCTGACCTTAACCTTGAATGTGGTCCAATCAGGGCGAAGGTCAGGTCACATCCTGGAGGCACGAGGTCTTGAAACGCTTGGATTGTTAAAAAAACCCCAACTATTTTCGCAAACACGCAGACAGGAGGGTGTTATTTGCCGACAAATTTCACGGTTGCTATGACTACCCCTACTCCAGATTCCCTTCTTCCATTGCTACAACAAGTCCAATTATCTTGGGCCAGTGGGTTGTCACGAAGGCGATAGGTGTGAACTTGTCGTTAGTGTGTGTGTGTGTGTGTTTGTGGTGGTGTAGTTGTGCTTCTCAAACGTGGACACACGGTCACCACCAAACCCTCCACCGCGCGCACACACACACACACTCGAATTGTGCAAGTCACATATGTTTGTGTGGCCGGCTAGTCACGTTCGGCCACTTGCCAGGCGTGCTGCCAACTCGTGTGCAGCGTAATTTGCCCGTTTAGTGTCACGTGGCACATGTCGATTCATACCTTAGATGTCGCGCCTCCGTGCAACACAAAACCACGAGGACACTGTTTCAGCTGATTGATTCCTTTTCTAGCACCCGATATACGCTGTTGACACACTTTAATCGATAAGGGCCTTAGTAATGACACTACTTGATAATAGATCGAAAACGCCTATTTGGAATGACGCGACTTGGATCATTCCCACTGGTTAAACCGGATTGGTGTATTAAATTAGCGTTGAACTCGGGTTTAATTTTTGCTATTGATTTTTCCTTATTGTAAACACTCTTCGACCAATCAGCTATTAGCGTTATTTTTGTATTTCACAAGTATTCCTTTGCGGTCTTACACGCCAGTTCTGAGTTTATTATTCGCATCATACACCACATCGTCGAATCCCTTCAGCTTTTCTCGGTTTTGACATAAGCAGATTTTGTCGTTTTCTGGCGACATGATTCTGGTCATTGCTCTTTGATTCCTTCCTACTTTTGCTTCGCTAGTTGTTGACGATCAAGGTAGCAACGTGAGTCGACTGTAATGAATCGTTTCAAAAAGAGAGAAATTTCATTGCCTCTGGGGTTTTAGTAGGGCTTTAACATCGGAATCAAACCCGTTTGACGTGATTGTCTAATTGTTATTGTACACGATACAGTACGTGGAGGGCTCGGCGCCGACAAGGCTTGATCGCTCTCTGATTGGTTAATTTCAACGCGCGAAATTCGCCCTAGCAATACGGAAGACGTGACTTCCCCTAACTCAGCGTTCGCTTCACGCTTTTTTTGCCCAAAAGCATTGCCTCTTATGTGTGTGTGAATATCCAAAAGCGTGCAGCAATTTGGCAGATTTGCGCGTCCAACTTGTGTGCTAATTTAAACGTTGCACTTCCCTATGAATTATCCCTGGGGGATGCCTAATAGTCAGCTTCGTGTCTTTGGATCTGTAAGAATTCGAGTCTCCACTAGCGGCTGGTGTTTTTGTTGTCCAAAACATTTACACAGTTTTGACGCTTCGTCACTGAAAATGTACACGAATATGGGCGCCTTTTTGCGTGCAAATCAGATGCACACGTTTTTTCTCCCAAAATACACTTTCCCAAACACCTCTAAGCAAGTAGTCTTTTCTAATACCATCGAACGTTGTAGTGTTGCGTCAAGGTTTGCAATTCACGTGTGAACACCGACCACCTAGATAACACGAGTGGGTTGCGGGTCAGGCTATTTAGGTAATTCTACTTTCCATCGTTGGTATTCGGTGTTAGGAAAGTTGTCTAACCCTCCATCTCCCCTTCTAGATCCGTTCCATGCTGGTTGTCGACGCAGCCGATCGAATTACGCCGGCCAGCGCCCTAAGTCACGAATTCTTCAAACAGGTAATCTCTCCCTCTCCGAATCTCTTGTTCTGTGTACTCGAAGCTCACTTCACGCACCTTTCCAACTGGTTTTACCCTTTAGACCAACGTCGCTCCCACCACAAACAAATTCTACGCTCGGCGAAAATTCAGGGTGAGTCTTGTCTACTGAAACGACTCTAAGTAGTATACCCCTCCCACGCAAAACCGTCTTCTTTGCCTGCAACAGGCCGCCTACTCGGCCCTTCAGTTCATCAGGATGCTGCGCGAGCTCAAGGCGTGTGGCACCACCCTGTCGCTGCACAAGCTCACCACCGATCCTTACTCCAATAAGCGTCTGCGAAAGCTGATCGACTCGCTGGCGTTTGACGTCTACAGTCATTGGATCAAACGCGGCGACGAGCAGAATCGCGCCGCGCTCTACGAGAACAAGCCGCGTTTCGACCAGGTCCACCTCTCGCTGACAACGTCGCTCTCGGTGAACTCGGAGTTGGAGAGTCGTGGTGAAGTCGGTGGTGGTGGCGGCGCCGACGACAACGTGGAGAACGACTTCCAATTCACCGGGGACTTTGACGAGTCGTCAGTCGTTCGATGGTGATACCCACCTCGGTCCCCTAAACCCCCAGCCCTCCCCCGCCACCCGTCCCAGATACCCCCAGGCATCATCATCATCATCGTCTTCGGTTTTTTCACCTCCGTCTCCCTATCCTTTTTTAACATCATTATCCAGTAGATCGACAGCTACCGAATCATTTTGTGCTTTTCAGTCCCTGTTTGTTCTATGCCACCCCTCGTCACACGTCTACTTATTTCCTGTTGTAGTAGTAGCTTGTGCATCTACTGGAGAGCGCCCAACCCGTTGACAATCAGCTGGAGTGAAATAATCACACTGGTCACTTCGCTTCTGTGCCTGTGCGTGCGTGTTGGCAATAATGGGTGATTTGGTAAAAGTACCTCATTGGCCACGATCCTTGGTTCTGGAGTGTGTGTTGTTGTTGTTGTTGATCGTTAGTTTCCTTCCTGCTCTCTCATTAGTCGAGCACGTGTCTAAGTGATATTTGAAGAATGAAGAATGCCGAAGAATGAACAGGAGTACAAACGAGGCAGTCGTTTTGTAGGGAGTCCAAATAACCTTATAGAGGTAAGTTTTTAATGTATATTGCGTTGGGAATGAACACAAACTGGAGCGTATGAATTGTCTTCTTGCTAGTGATTAAACCACAAATGGAGATTGAAAACGGCGTTTGTGTATAAAATGACTGTAAAAAGAGGCAGGAAGAGTGTATGTGAAGGAGCAGCAACCATGTCGGAGGCGAAATTGCCTCATCCAATTAAAACCCTGTTTTCATGTCCAATGGGAGTGCAGGCATCTGGCCAGAAAGTAACTGCAGTGGAGCGCTGTAGACGGCTCAATTGACTCGATGGTGAAATCCAAGCTGAGATGTCCAAATTTAGTAGTTTAGCAGACACGTGTCTACCTGGTGCATTTCGTTGCCTCCTCACTTTCCTCTTTTCACTCCGTGTGAAGTAATTGGATTGGTTAGAAAAGTGGCTGTAAGGAAGGAACCCAGAAAACACTTAATGAATATCTTTAAAGAGAAACCTGTGATTTTTAACAATAAAGGATTTAAGAAACTTGTTCAAATTTGGAAGATAGGTGCAGAAAGTGACAAAAATACAAGATCAATAAACATTGTTGATAAAAATAATCCAAGTCTGTGATCTCCGAATTGCCATCATATGATTGTAGCTTCCTGGAAATTCCTCCATTTTTAATCAAAATTTATCAGAATAGGTTATGTCAACGATGATATGAAGATGTATCATTTCTGAAAGAATTTGTAGTCCTCTGAAAAACCAGTTGCGTCGTCCAGGTAACCATTTAACTGATTTTTCTGTGATCGCCATCCTACTGGATGATTCGATTTCCATTTTATGATTTTATCCATTTGCACAGAAGTAGGTCAATTCTAGCGTTCACTGTTTTGGATTTTTTAGCCTGTGCAGATATAGCAAGAGAACCACGTGAAATTAAATTTGGCGTCTTGCAGCACTTTAGTTTCCTTTCAAAAATCCCACGCCGGACACGGTCATTCGTCCTTTAGTTTTACCCTACCTGTAGAAAATATCTCGATTTTCGCTGAGGCCCTCTTGCTAATGGCTCTGATTGAACAGTTTTCTAGCCTTTATGGCGATTTGCTTCACTTAATCCGTCCAATCACTGACCTTTTACAGTTCATTCTGCCCTCAATTTTCCCGTCACACGTAACGCCTTTTTGCCTACCTAAAGTGAAGACGCTCCGGTGTGTGTGTTTGGTATCAGTTCTGTGCACTCGGTAGCTTAAGCGTTTAAACAGCCATGCGATTAACGTAATGTGTGTGTGTGTGTACAGTGTTTAATCACACACGCACCCGGTTCTTGCGTCTGATGCGTACGCCGGCCGGTAGACTTGTCGACTAAACAGTAAGTAATGAGATGATAACCTTGGGCGTTTTCAGCGTTGTGATTCTCGCAGTGGACAGCTCTCTGATCTGCGCAACATTTCTCTACCATGTCAAATTTTAACTTGCGCACTCATTGGAAGTTGAAGAAACGCTTTGTAAGGGATTTTAGGCATTAGTGGACATGCCGTTAATTTTGGCGTGGAAAAAGCAGCAACATCCAGTAGCAGGGCTGAAGCAGTAGCCAATCAGGAAATACCCTGTCCACCAATCAGATCGCTCGCTGATCTCGCAGCGTTCACGCCATGGGCTGGTGGTCGATTGGCGGTGTAGATCACATTTACAGTGTTGAAGCAGCAGCCAATCAGGAAACGTCCTGTGCACCAATCAGATTGTTCGCTGGTCTTGCAGCGTTCACGGTGGTCGATTGGCGATGTAGATCACATTTTTTCGCTGGAACATCAATGAAAGCCTCGTAAAGATTAGTTTTTGCTAAAAAGTGACACCCTTTGCCAATAAGCACCTGTTTCCCTCAAAAACTAGTGTTGTATTTTGCGAAAAATACCAATTGGTGATGTTTAGCGTCGTCTTAGATAAATCTGAATAAATTGGTCCTTTAAATTCTGCAAATCACATGAGCAATTGTCGTTCTATCCGCCATCCGAAAATCATTTAAGCAAAGCTTCGAAAATAAAAAAGATTTGAACTTTGTGGCGTTAATTTGTTTAAATACTAAATCGCGGTAGCGCGACCGACCGTTAATTCGACGCAGTTTATTACTCTACTCAAGTTTAAAAGTAGCGAACAAACTACAATTGTTTTGGTAATCATATCCGATCCGTAGCGATCGCAAACAGGCTTGAGATCTAATGCGCCTCACACAATTTTATCGCTCATGGATGCGCTTACACTGCGGGAGAAATCCTTAAGCAGATTTTGATTGTAAATATATGTTTGGGTCCAAGGTCAATTAAGTCAAATTGCATTCAGCCTCTAGAAATTACGATTTCGTACATCTTTTAATGCCACTTCCAATATTATTGACTTATTTTCAAATGTTCAGCACACAAAAAGCACTCCCAAAAACAATATTTACATCTTGTTTAAATTCAGTGCTTTGATTGGTCGGTTGGCATAAACGATTGATGCGGGTTTGTGAGGTTGCTTGGGAACTGGGATCCACGTACTTATTATGTGTGGCAGCCTAGCAGATGCGTCCATTCGTCGCTGATTTACAAAGTCAAATATGCCGCTTGTACTTTAGGCAAATTTGGCGCGTCATATTAAACGAGCAAGTGTATACGCGTTAATATTACAAACAAACAACAATAGGTAGTTAGCCAGTCGCTAAACAATCGGTTGCCTTGTCAACGGACACAAATAATTAGCCCAGATTGTAGCTCATCAAACGAAAACGAAGCATCATTCGAAAACATGTCACGTAACAGCTTTAAACGCATCGAGTATCGGCCAATTGAAATCACGTAATTTAAAACAGGAATACAAATTGCCTCGAGACAATTAAAAATCGATATTTCAGTGATCTCGATACTTCCATGTCCGTTTGAGACGTGAGTTAAAGTGAAGAAGTCGACTGATCGCAACGAAATTAAGGTTGACCATCTCGTCAAAATCTAGCAGATGTTTTTCACGCATCACGAAACTTTCTTTACCCACACATGTCATTAGTTAAATCCACACTTGGAAAATTTGATTATTTTCACTGAAAATGTCCACATTACGCTTGAATAAGCTTTTGTTAACATGACCTTTTCAATGACCTTGGAAAAGGCATTACTTCATTGGCCAAAGAAGCAAGTTGTCGAATGAAGGTAGTCATCTGCGCCACATAAAGTCATGCACCATCCCAGCAGGTGATCATTTTAGCTGGGAAACCCAGAATTCTTCCACACACTACACCTCAGCTTATCTTGGCCTTACCACTTCTCCATCTTCGAATCTACAACACGCGCCATCTTGTAAATTTTGTCCCGACCGCCCAAACATCCTATTGGCTATTCAAGGTCAATTTGCGCATGCATAAGTGATTGTATTCGATGCCTATTGGTCGAGACAACAGATGGCTTTTTTCACTAAGTCTTGTCCCTTGTTTCGTGATGAAAGTAACACTGACAAAATCGACTCCAAAAAAAATACACCAAGTAGATTAGGAGTTCGGTTTATTTGTAAATAAACCAAGACAGACACACGTATACATTAAAAGCCAAATTATGAAGAGACAAAGTGTAAATAAAGTCAGGAAAATGCCACAAATTATACGGTCGACGTGGAAAAATGCCATCGTGTACACAACACAAGAGAATGAGATAGACGAGGGGGGAGGAGGGAAAGGCGACGGCGGTGATGACGACGGGAGAGATCACTTGGCGTAGCGGATGCGGTAGTAGAGCCACTTTGAGCGCCACAGGGAGAACGAGTTGTCGAACTTGAAGACGTAGACACCACAACCAGGGTACTGGTGGCTGCCGCAGTAGACCTCCAGGTGACAGTCGCGACGGTAGACGGGAACCAACTCATCCGTGGGAGGCGCATTCAGGAGCTTCCTTCTGTTGCCTCCGCCTCCACCGCCGCTTTCAACGTCCGCTTCTGACGCCTCGCCTACAACCGAAGAAAATTCAAAACGGTACAAGCACCGAAGAAAAAGACATTTAGTAGAATACCAGGTTAAACTTACCCGAATGTCGAAGCGTCGGGCTGCTGCGAGGGTGCCGTTGGTTTGAGGCGTCCGCTTCCACGCCTTCTTCGCCGGCAACCTCTTCGTCGTCTTCTTCGTCACTCGACTCCGAGATAGTCATCGTGATGTTCTCCTGCGGCGTGAGGTCCCATTCGAAGAAGAGACCGAAGCCCAGGTCGTAGGAGTCTGTCGCGAACTCCCAAAAGATGCCTGTCCCGTCCTCGATGGTTGGAACACGAAGCTTTGAGGAAGGGAGAGAAGCGGTAAACTCGATTTAGACGCTAAGGTGCCTTGGTTTGACGCGATAACCGACGTAACCACCGCGCACACCTGTCAGCCAAATGGATTTTTTATGGCCTTAGGCCCTGGCCGTACCCCACCTTGGTGTTCGCGTGCGACCACGTGCATGTCCGCAGTAGAAAGACATAAAACGGTTATCAGATGGGGAACTCCACGCCATGATGGCAAATTTTGCAAAGAACCGCATCCCTTAGTTGAAACCACGTGAAAACATTAGGTCTAAGACTTAATTTTTACGAATTTTCCAGCAAATTTACTTAAATTAAAAAAAAGATTTTTTTGCCAATATTTTAATCTTGGAAATATTGTTAGTCGTTTACTATGAACTTGGGCTATCTCTCTGAGGCAACGTATGAATAATGTCATGGACATACGGTTTACTGTTTAACCACTAAGACGTGCTGCTGCCTTGACCAGAACAAATGGTAGTCGGAAGGGGGCCAAGTCTGGTGAATATGCCGTGTGTGGGAGAACTTTCCATCCAAATTTCAAGAGGGTCTTCTGAGTCGCGTGAACAATGTGAGGTGGTCGAGCGTTGCCACGCCTGCTTCCCGTAGCGTTGAACAGCCACCGTCCGACGACTAGTTTTTTTGGGAGTTTGGAATCAAGTACACCATTCATGTCGCATTAGATACATTTGTGAATCTTCTTCAAGTGGATGTGCCGTTTAGGCGTATGGTCATAGCAAACGATGGACATTAATTCCAATAGATGTTATACACCTAATACAACACATCGTCGTGACAAATAGTGTTACCAGATCAATACTGCATTCTTTATCACTTCTTATAACTGTCAAGGCTTTACAAGAAGAGAAAAGACGTAAAGACAAAGAAATTCTGTTGAATTTTCTGTCAAGCGACATACGTCCCATAGCTTAACTTTAAGTCTGGATTTTCGTGAGCTGTTCACAGCGCTTCTCTGCAGTTACTTGCTGGCCAGGTGTCTGCACTCTCATTGGACGTACAAACAGGGTTTTGATTGGATGAGGCAGTTTCGCCTCCGACATGGCTGTTGCTACTTCACACGCACTCTTCCCGCCTCTTTTTCACAGTCGTTTTATACACAAACTCCGTTTTCAATCTCAGTTTGTGGGTAACTCACTGAAGGGCTCGTTTTGTTCACTGGCAAGAAGACAAATTTCAGTGGAAACACGCACTAGTTTGTGTTTATTCACAACGCACTTACATTACTGACAAGTACTAGTCCGATTTTAAGAGCAGCACCAGCACGTTTCTGCCACCTATGACAATTTGAAACGCACTTATGAAATCAACCGAAGTTCCCTACTAACGTTCAACCATTCAAGCAACCACCAAAGTTTGGTTTTTGCGAGAGTTCGATAAAACTGCATTGAAATGGTTTGGCGAATTGATGATCCTACTACTCAAATTTCACCCACCAAGTCATAAAACCTGACGAAACCCACCAATCACACGACGGGGGTGTACGACACAGCCGTGTGCCGTTGTCCACTACACAAAGATGAACAGGCAGGATGCGAGGACAAAACTCACTGTAGCTGAGGCTAAAGAGGATATCTTGACACAGCATTCGCGCTGATTGGCTAAAATATCCTTTTTGAATTCCGCGATGTCCTTACGCGTCCACATGCTCGCGGGGACAAGGGGAAGAGGAATCGGTTCGCCTAGAGGAAAATGCAAATGAACGAAACGTGGTTAATGTGGAGGGCTTTTAAGTGAGGCCACTTCAACGATGACTAGGATTTGGAGATCCTAATAAAACCCACAGTACGTACCTAACATTTCATCCTCCCCGTCAGCATCAGTGTCTGCACTTGCACGAGCCGCCTCTCGCACGTCTAGAAGCTAGTTAAAAATATTGAAGCAATAGAGACTTATGAATGTAGGAAAAAGCAACGTCAAGGGTGACAATGAAAAGATAAAATACGCCCGCGTAATGCCAAGTTCACCAGTCCATCAATATATTGGAACAGAAAATGCTCACCTGTTCAATCTGTCTCTGCTGATTCAGCATTTGTGATCGCTGGACATTTTCCATGTAGTAAGTGAAGTACTGGTCTTGCATCTGCTGAATAAGTTCCTCCTGCTGTAGAAGTAAGAAATAGCACAGATATTTAAGCAAGGGTACCTTAGCGATGTCTTTTGGGTGCTGTTCTTGAGCGTACTGGCGAAATTGGATAATGCTTTGCTGATCCAAAATTGAACGCATAGCTGCTCTAAAAAGTAAGGCAATTATAAAGCCAACCAGCTCACTCTTGTTTCATGCGTTCTTCAGCTGCCTCTGGAGTCTCGACCAAATCACCTTCCTCACAAATATTTTCAGCGGAATGGACGCGAGGATCATTTGAGGACATCGTTTCATTTAGGGTAGACATTTATCTTTTACTACAAAACACAAAGAAAGTTGAAATTGCGTAATTCGTATAAAACACCTTGTCCAATATATCGTTAGGCTACGTAAATATGTCTGACTACTTAAGGAAGCACGTTAACCACAGATGGAGTCAGAAAAGATGAGTTTAAAGGTTGCAGACTACTTAATTATCTGAACGCTTTCTACACTTTTTCATTGAGATGTTGAAAAGTAGAACAACGATCTTTACTAAACCGCAGGACTCTACAGTTCTGTAAACAGTAAAATACACAAAATACAAATAGGTGATTTAAAAATGCCTGTAAGCTGGGCTTGGAACTAATAGCTTGTTACAACAGGTAAACAGGCTAACAAACTATAAAATACATTGATTAGTGCAAATTGAATTATAGCAAACCTAGTTCAAGTATGAAAAATTGGTTCGGCTGATATCGATCACAAAAATGCCATGTGATAGAACTCTTACAACATTGTAAAACAAAACACCAAGTACAAAAAATGTACCTGAAAAATAGCCCCAATTTTCCAGCATAACAATGCATTACAAACTTCATATCAATACAATTAGTTTAATTACCTAGACAAGAGAGCAATTAACGAAGCACGCATCAATAAACAGATTTTAAACACATTTCATAAAGCATAAGAAAATCAAAACTATGCCCTAAAAAATATAATTAAAGTTTATACCTTTGCTGATGTGCATCAACTGAAAACTACAAAATAAACCAGAAATTCAAAAAGCGCGCCATTAAACCAACGCGGTATAACAAAAAAATAAAAACTGCAACACACAAAGCAAAAATATATAAAAAATTCAAATTAAAGCTATAATTATAATATTAACTAGGCAGGCTGAAATGCAGGCTAAATGCCAAAATAGGTTAAATAGCTTGCATAATACGACCTTTAAAAATGCAATTTAATGTGGTGCACTTAAACAATGGGAAATCAATGAATGCAAAAAATACATAAAAGCCATTTAAAAACATGCAAATGGTATAGATAATAAATTTATCTGCTGCTAATGGTATTGCTCACACACAAACGGATTTAGAAAACACTAAGTCATGAAATGTAGTATGCAGAGATGATTAGTTTTGTTATATTTTGATAAAGAAATTGTGAAAAAAGATTTTGACTGCAAATTATTTTTGTGCAAAAGTACCTTACATGAAAACCGACATCGTAGCTGATTATTATGTGTGCTAATTCAGATTGTGCTTTCGGGAGTACATATCGCATATATATTTGTACATTTATAATTTTTTTATTTTATGCGCTTATCGTTACCGGTGATATGTGTAAAGATTGAAATGATGTTTAACTATAATCTTGTAGATTTTTGCTTACTAATTTGCATAAAGTGCTTTTATGCATTAAATTGATACAATATTCATAAATGTCTAGTTTGGCTTTACAATTGAGTTCATGGTTTCGATAAAAAATATAAAGTAAATGAGCCTGCATCATAACGCTTAAGAAAAATGTTGGATTAGTAGCAAAAGAAGCATCCCTATCTTTATACTGTGCCACTTATTCCAACACAAATTATAATGTAAATATTTCGTAATCAATTTAGTTTTCAATGTTATTTTGCGGTTAATAACTGTTTGTGCCTGCCGTAGCTTTAGTTGGCATGCCATTGGATTTGGAAACTGAAAAGAATACAAAAGCTAGGTCCTGTTTGTACACTACTTGTAGGCTAGAAACTAGAATTTGTAACACCAATTTGATTTATTCAAACATTATTCACAAGGAAATTTTAAAAGAATTGCCTCTAAATTAAATCGTTTGCATTCGTACTATTTCTGCGAAAACGCTGCCCATCATTGCACTGAATTCTAGTCACAGTAAATTACGTATGAAATCTATGATGGAAAGTATCCTTGTTCAAGAAACCGATCTAACATGCATTTATAAATCCATATTATTTTATCATTAATTCCTTTGTGGATAGATATCCTACTACTGGTAAGTTGAGTCTAAATAATATTAGTTCAACGTTTCATAACATTTTTGCTCTAAACTGATGCCGAATTTGTGCAACGATTTTCCACGTAACAAAAAAAGTTCACAAAATAAATACCTATCTCCTGTCTTTGCAATAAAGGACATGGACACGACCTCGAGCACTGAGCAAGACTGACTCAGCTACAGCTTGGAGTAGCATGTCAGAACGAAGAACTTACACACGCCTTGTGGCTCTGGCCTGGTGATTTAGCATGCATACGAGCGAAATGTGAGATATAAGTAATGGTGTGATCATTTTGGTGATAAAGTTAAGGCAGTGGTATGAAATATGAAAAGGTGTGAATATAACGGTTATCATCTTCGATTTTGCGAAGGTAATTGTGTTGGGGAATGCCCACATCCCAGTCATTTGCCAGGAGCTTGCCCTATCTGACTTTGAAATCATCAGAACATATTTCACCGGAGATAAATTAGCACAACCAAGATGTCATAACAACAATGTGTCACGCAGATAGAAATGTCAGTTGTGATTCACCTGATTTTCAACTTTTGGTCTTTATCGACATTATTTTTGACCAATACATAATCAGACGAACAACGTGGGATCAGGGTACACCGATCACGAGGAAATACGACCTCCGCTCGATATGAATGGCGCCCGATGTCGAATCAAGCATTACATTCAAATGGGCTACAAAAATTCCTAACCACAAGTCAATCGACTCACCAAATTGCTCATTTCCTGCAAACTTTACGAAGCATTGGCGACCAGAATCCCGACTAATCCATAACCCACGATAGCACAATGGTGGCAAACAAATGATTATCTACTAAATTCAACGTGGCATCATTTCCATGCCGAACGAATCGATTAGGACATTTATCGCTCTTAGTCTGACCTGCCAACTAATGACTATCTCATACAGCCAATCAGGATTATGAACTGCTACCGATAACAACCTCCAAATTGCGCTGGTAGCAGGGGTTGCGAATAAAACCGCGTTTGCATACATCAACTACACTCAACATAAAAAAGCATTAGCGACAACCAACTAAATTGTCCAAGGACATTTAAGCTATCAAATTTTCCATATTTAGTCACATAAGCACGGCCGAGAATGCAAGAATGGCTGAGAAGCAATCAACCGAATGAATTCAAGCACCTTTTCCCAAGGAACACCAAATCCTTAAGCAAGCATACCAAAACAAGACCACTAAATAAAGATGTCAAGTTTTGACTAGTCTGGTAAAATTCAGGTCATCAAAAACAGCAATGATAAGGTGGGGTGGGGGTCGACGACGGAGACACCTTCTTAACCTTGTCTCTACCCACTAGCAGTGTGGGACCACAGGGCGATCTTTTTGCCGCGTTCGCACGTGACGATGTGGCTGCCGAGGGGACTCCAGTTGGCACAGATTACCATGTTACTGGAAAAAAAAAGCAAAAAAGTGGCTGAATTAGTCCGTCAGACAGTCACAATTCTCCGATACTTCACTCCCATTGGACAATCGCTTCCGTTTAGACCTTGGTCTCAGGGTCACCGAAGGGTGAGGAGTGAAGCAAAATGATGACCATAAAACGATAAATACTTCGAAATTGTCTCCTCGTGGCAGCAAGTACGAAAATCCTTTAAGCGAATCACACATGTGCCACACATATATAATCGCCAAGACACTCTTGAGATGGATGTGGACCCACTTGACGCGAGTGAGAGCCACTGAGTGGCAGAATCGCTTACTCATGACCGTTCAGCACTGTTTCCAGGTCGCCGGTGATGGCGTTCCACACGTAGACGCCGCCGCTTTGAGAACCACACGTCACGTGGGCGCCGTCGGGGGAGAAGGCGGGTCGAACGCAGTCCGCGTGGATCCGGAAGCCCTCGGCTTGAAACGACCGCACGACCTCGTTACGGCGCAGTTCGACAGTGTGGAGGGAGTCGTTGCGAGTGCACGCCAGCACGTAGTTCCCGTCTGGAGTAAAAGAAGGCGTAAAAACTAACACATGGACTGAGCGCAGGATCGGCTGTCTAACTTTGAGTCAGGCCAGGTTAGTACTTAGGGCGAGTAATCCCGCGTCTACAATCAGTGAATCTATCGTAAACCGATTTTACCGATGGTTCCTTCAAGAAAAGGGTTTAAAGACGACGGGAGAAATTATTATGGCCACAACGATTTAGCGTGCACCCCACAAATACTTCACGACTCAGAATCCATAGCATTTCGTCAACCCAAAACGGAGCTCACCAACACACAAAGGTAGGCCCACCAATGAACACAGAGATATTGATGAACTTAAATTTAATCAACCTGACTTCCGGAAGAATGTTAAGCGGACAAACTGAACCAAATTTACGACTAAGACATCAGAATGAAACCAGATACTGAAATAAGACACGATAACGTTTCTAATCGGAAAGGTAACTGACAACAGAGTTCTATCCTCACCGGCAGATATCAAGCAAGTGAAAATAAGATTGGTGTAGGGATCAGAGCTTTGAGTTCACGTACCAGTGGAAACATCCAACCCTGTTATCCTACCAGACAAGACGAGTTCGGTGACCAATTTGCCAGACTCCGGGTCCCAGATACGCAGTTTCTTGTCAGAATGACCGCTAATCAGACTGCTCGAATGCCGGCACCCGATGACGTCATAACAGAGCGAGGTGAGGGGAATTGTGCGAGAGCACTGACGACGGCCAACGTTCCAAAGCTGAAATAAAGAGAGTGGACTTAAAGAAAATTACTGCCTCCGCAAAGCCGTCAAAACCTATCACACTTCTTACTGCACCAAATTTTTTATACACACAATAGCCTACAAAATCTATAAGCAAACCTTAATAGTCCGATCGCTGGAGGCAGTAGCGACGGAGTTGGAAGCGTTACCACAACTGATGAATCGGGCGGCAACCACTCGTTCCGAGTGACCTGTGAGATTGACTTTGAGGCGACGATCAGCCAAAGTCCAGACTCGACAAGCAAAGTCACTCGATGCACCCAAAACCATGGTTTCCTGTTGGATAGAGATAACGGCAGAAGTGGGAGTGTTGGTTCATTAAACTTGAGGGAAAATCTGCAAGGGAATTTAAAGCATGAGTGCTAAACTTACCTCGCAATCGAAATCCACATCAGTGACTCCGGCGTTGCAACCAACCAAGGAAACCAGAGATTCGCATTTGTCTTAAAGAGAATGCAGATTGTACTGAGCTACTTACCACCCTTGACAGACGCCAGCCACACTTTTCTGTCAAGCCCACCGTAAGAGAGCATTCGTCCGGATGGACTGAATCTGACACAATTTACATCTTCCGAGGTTACCTAAGAGTAGGGTAGGCGTGATCACTAGAACTTACAATCGACGAAACCATTTGATCCGGCAAGGGGACCAAAGAGCAACTACTGCGATGTATAGAACCATGGTCGCCCTCTTCCACACTTGCTGGCAACGACGCAGCATCAAGAAGACCCCGATGTACAGTTTCGCGACGAAGTCAGAACAGAAGATAAAACAATCACCGGGACCTACCGGAGTTTCATATCGGACTCGAAGTTCTTTAGAGACTCAATTTGCGTTTGAAGGGAAGATATTTGAGTCAAAAACCTGGTCCTGTCCTCTTCCATCTGTCTCTTGTCCGCCTCCAAACTTTTCACAGTCAACATCGTTGTTGTCTGCTCATTAAGAAGCATCTCGTTGGCTTTCTTTAGTTCGTCTATACTTTCCATGCAAGAGCGATTAAGCGCATTGGACTCCAGCAGAAGGTCATTTAATTTCTCAATCCTGAAGAAAAATATTACGGCAAAGGGCTACTTGCCTTTCGGCTTGGTTCTGTAGCTGCGAATTTTTTGTCTGAATTAATTCATTCAACTACAAGACACAAATTGTTACTAAGTAATGGTGCAACCTTCTCTTTTTCACGATGAAGTTCAATAACCTCCCCTTGCAAATGCAGAAGCTTTTGTTCTAACTCTGCATTCCTAGCGGGATTCGCCAGGGCGCTGCACGATTAGTCACACGAAGATAAGTACCAACCTGGTCTCAGCCTGCACACTTAGGCGTTGGTTTTCACGCTCAAGTGCCTTGTTCTCTCGCCTGAGCTTTAAATTAGCCAAATCGATTTGGAAAAATCGGTCGCGAAGGTCTGAATCTATCACGAAATCGTAATACTAATTTAGCTTACAGTTTGAAAATACGATGCCATATCCTCTGG